AGCATTCGTTCGTTCTAGTCTCTTTGTTTTTGACCACAGCTTCCCTCTTGACTCCTTGCTTTGTCTTTGCCCCTGTCTGGATACCACGCTCTCGGCCTACATGGTACAACCTCGCTCTCCTCTTCGACCACGACTACAGATCATCCTTTTGCCTGTTCACACAGCTCCTGGCTCTCGACCCCTGCTACGTCCCTGGATTCTGTTTCCTGCCCAGCCCTCCAACGTTCTCTGTCTCAGCCCTGCTCCTGCCACAGAAGGTTAGTGACGTGCACACCACCTCTCAGCTCCCAGAACCTTTTTGCAGTCACTAACCTGTCTGTCTTCATAGATTGGACCAGAACTGAGGCTCAGATCCTTCAGACGAATGCCTATAATAAAAATAAAACATTTTATTTTAATATTGTCCTGAGTCAAGTGTTGTGCCGATCCATACAGACTCGTTACAGTTCCTGTAATCCCAATATCATATTCAAGCCTCTGTAGTAAAATATTGTGATCAACTGTATCAAATGCAGCACTGAGGTCTAACAGGACCAGTAGAGACACTAGTCCATTGTCTGAGGCCATGAGAATATCATTAGTTACTTTTACTAGTGCTGTTTCTGTGCTATGATGAGCTCTAAACCCTGACTGAAACTCTTCAAACAGATTATTTCTTTGTAGATGATCACGTAACTGACCTGCAACTATTTTCTCTAGAATTTTTGAGATGAAAGTTAGATTAGATATAGGTCTATAGTTGGCCAGAATTCCTGAATCAAGATCAGACTTCTTAAGTAAAGGTTTAATTACAGCAACCTTAAAGCTCTGTGGTTCATAACCATCCATTAAAGACAAATTAAGTAGATCCAAAATGTGGACATTAATTAGGGGGAATACCTCTTTAAACAGTCTGGTTGGGATGGGATCTAGCAGGCATGTGGATGGGATCTAGCAGGCATGTGGATGGTTTGGATGAGGTTATTATTTTTGACAATTCAGAGCTCAACAGGACAAAAACTGTCCAAACATAAATCAGGCTCTAGTGAATTTTTTAAAGTTGCCTCATTTGACAGGGGACTAGAGAGAGTAGAAGGAAGGATGGTTTGAATTTTCTCTCTAATTGAAATAATTTTTATTTATAAAGAATCTCATGAAGTCATCACTACTTATAGTTGTAGGGATACATGGTTCAACAGAAATGGGACTTTTAATTAGTCTAGCAATAGTACTAAACAGAAACCTGGGGTTATTTTTATTCTCCTCTATTAAAGATGAGTAATATAAAGTTCTAGCTTTACGGAGAGCTTTTTTATATGTTAGCAGACTATCTTTCCAAGTTAAATAAAATTCTTCAACATTAGTAGAGCGCCATTTTCTCTCCTGGTTTCTAGATGCTGCTTTAAAGTACGTAACTCAGAATTGAACCAAGGAGCAAGTATCCTCTGATTGATTACTTTCTTTTTCAGTGGAGCAATTTTATCAAGTGAAGTTTGCATTGAAGTTGTAAGATGATCAACTAGATGATCTAAGTCTCTGTTCTCTGATGCATTACTCTGCAAGACAGAGGAAAACATTGATGGAAGAGATTGTTTCAATTTGGTTACAGCATTTTCTGATAAGCACCTGCTGAGATGAAATTTACTCTCAGTGACTGTGTAGTCATTTAATGTAAACTCAAAGTTATTAAAAAATGGTTGGACAGAACAGGATTTTGAGGAACTATTACCAAGTCCTTAATCTCTACACCATAGGTCAGAACTAAATCAAGAGTGTGATGATAAGAATGAGTAGATGTGCGGACGTTTTGGGTAAAACCAAATGAGTCTATTAAATTATTAAAGGCTATGCTTAAACTATCACTTTCAACATCCACATGAATATTGAAATCACCCATTATGATGATTTTATCAGTATTTAATAATAAGTCAGTTAAGAATTCTGAGAATTCAGATAAAAACTGAGAGTAAGCTCCTGGTGGACGATATATAACAACTAGTAAAAGTGGCTTTTCTGATTTCCATTTTGGATGAGAAAGACTGAGGGACAGCGATTCAAAAGAATCATAACTAATAACTGGTTTGGCATTAATCAATAATCCTGACTGAAAAATAGAAGCTACTCCTCCACCTCGGCCAGTTGTTCTAGGAACATGAACATTTAAATAATTAACAGGAGTGGATTCATTTATACCAACAAAATACTCCTGTTGTAGCCAAGTTTCTGTCAGACACAATAAATCAATATGATGATCAGTTATCAGTTCATTAACTAACAGGGATTTAGAGGAAACAGATCTGATGTTCAATAATCCACAATTAATGATTTTATGATTTTGCTCTGATAGAGTAATTGTGTTTATTTGAATCAGATTTTTATGGTTTATATTTTTAGAGCTGATTTTTGGTTTATTTAATTTGAGCCGTGGGCGAGTTGACACTGTTTCAATGTGGGTGTAAGAGGGCGTTACAATATTGATGGTCGAGCCAATCACAACAGAAGGGTGAACCTTCGTTCCAAGTTACTGTTTGAACTTTAATAATCTCAATAAAAATATTAAATGGCTAATATCCTGATGCATGCTCAAATGGCTAATTACTCTGCTTTGGTAAATTCTCAATATAACAGGATAATCAAAACTTCTAAGCAGTTTTTTTTTCATCCATAAACATTTTCATAAGACTAATGCAAACACAGTTGAAACCTCTGAATACCAGTTTTACATCAAAACATTCACTTGTGTTAAGTTGAACTCAGAAATGATTTCTACCGTGGGATGGAAAAAGAGTCCTTGAGAACAATGGGGTCTTTCTCACACTAAGACTGTAGGATGAATCCTCCCTTTAGGAAGAGATAAGTATAAGCTTTAGATGTTATACTTCAAAGGTCAGATGGAAAGGTTCTCATACAAAGGGCCTTTTAGCTGTGCTGAAATCATAATACCAGGTGTGCAACTAATTACAACAACAGATTTTTATTCTTCTTTTTTTTTTTTTTTGGTAACATGGTTCCTTACTGTCCAGCTCTGGAATGAGAGTCAATCTTACTTTCAAAGTATCAAAAGAATAAAAGCTGATGGTAGAAAAACCTCGATGTGTCCCTACACAGCCGAATCCAAAATAGCAGGAACCAGTTATCAAAAACCCAATTAAAATATGCGTCCTTAAAATCCACTGATGGCAGCAGAGATAGACACATCATCAAGTCTTCCAAATCGACGAGATATCCAGCTGCGTGCGTGCCAACAGGGCATATCGGCTCACCTAAAGCCTGTCTTCTCTTCGAATAAATGTTGTAAATTGTGTTGAGGGACCAACTGATCAAATCAAGTCCGTAATTGTGGTTCGGAAGAAATGCAAGAGAGTCTCACAGCAATTTCACAGACAGACAGGGCAGCAAAGCGGAGAGGGAGGGAGAGAAGCATCCGATCTCGTCGAGAGAAAGTGGTGAAATGATTTTAAATGATTTTGCACCAGGGCAGCACGGTGGCACAATTAGTAGAGCTGCTGCCTCTCAGCGAGCAGGTCCTTGGTTCAAATCCCGGTCCAGGGGCCTTTCTGTGTGGAGTTTGCATGTTCTCTCCGTGCATGCGTGGGTTTTCTCCGGGTACTCCAGTTTCCTCCCACAGACCAAAAACATGCATGTTAGGCTGATTGGTAACTCTAAATTGTCCCTAGGTGTGAGTGAGAGAGTGAATGGTTGTTTGTCTCGTTTGTCTCTATGTGTCCCTGTGATGGACTTGCGACTTGTCCAGGTTGTCCCCCGCCCCTCGCACAGTGATTGCTGGACATGGACACCAGCGACCTCCGTGACCCAAAATGGAAGAAGTGGATAAAAGATTATTGATGGATGGATGGATTTTGCACCCTGTATGAAGCCAATAAGTGGAAGGGAACGCTCCCTTCTGCAGCATATCAGCTGATTTCCTTCTCGACCACGCACACATTTGTCCTGGTGCAGCTTTGTGAAAAGTTAACCCTTTGTTGTCCAGATGCACTGATCGACCTTTTGTCTTCCAACTTAAAATTCAAAGTATGTCACATCCTAAAAATCATCATAATCACAAAATTTAAAAGTTATTTTTTATTATTTTAGAACTTCTTTGTTCAGTTGTTGAAGTGTAAATGATCAAGAAGTACATTTCTGCTCTGTGCTGCAGAGCTGAAGCTGTGAGTCATCCCTTTGATGTCCTGCTGCACTTCTCTTCTTGACAATTTAAATTTAAATACTGCTACATTTTAAATAAATAACCCATGCTGTATGGATTGATTATTTTAAATGTTACAGTATTGAAATGTATTTATTTTATTTAAGGATGGAGATTGTGAGTACCATGTGATGAGTGTGATTACAGCCTGACACGTGTCATGACAAAGCGTACTGAACTTGAACTGAACTTGAACTTGGACTTCACTTATTGCGTGTGTGTGTGTGGTCCCTAACACCCGTGATAAATGAGGGACTACTGCATTTTCACAAAAACACAAAGGGATGCTACAAAATAAAAGCAAATAGGTTCAAGTATAGCACAAACCAATTAATGTTAGTTATTTGTTGTAGTACTAAAACAGTATGATGTTTTTACTGCTTACTGCACTTATCTGCAGTACGTTAAAAACTGCACAGCTGTGATTTTATTAAAACCGTGAATCATTTAATTTTATTTTATCTGTGGCTTGTGTGACTTGATACCATTCAAACAGGACCGGGTCAGGATGGCAAATATCTGAGGGCAGCCGATCAGAGTCAACCCAGGTTAGTTTGGATGCCAAGAGGCTATGGACAGACAAGTCAGGAGGTCCACACACCACTGGCAAAACAAAGAGAAACATTTTAGCAATGATATTAAAAACATATGTTGACATATTTTACCACATATTAAAGTATATATTAGCGAGAGAAAAAAAAATGCAGACTAACTGATGCGTGTAAGTGGGCTGTCAATTGTGATGAAAGTGTTCTCATCAATGATCCGGTGCACAAAGTTGTTGAAGGAACAGTCATCGACGGGTCCAGACATTTCCAGTATCACAATGCAGTTGTTCAACCTGAACAACAACAGAAAAAAGTGTTACTTTATTTCAAACAATACAGCACCTGCCCATTGCACTCATCTACCAGGTTAGTGTCTGATTTATTCCATCTGATCTGTCAGTCTTGACTTCAATATGTTTAAATAAATTACATCATACAAACGCAGAATGAGCCCAGTAATATTAACACTTTTTGAGATGTTTGCTACTGTGGTGCTAAGGTTATGATTTTCCCTAGTATATTTGGTTTCTATAGATTTTCATAAGAGCCCTCACTTGATGTTTCAATATCCAGAGTGGGATCTTGACAACAACTATAGGAACCACAGATTTAGATTTGAACTTCCTCTACATCATTTTCATTGTGGCAGTTACTGAAAAGCAATTAAAGGGATTGCTATGGTGTTAAAAAATTAAAAATACATATAAATGTTGAGATCTGGAGTGTTCCTCAATGGTTTCTCTGTACCCATCCCTGATGTCTGGGCTTTGATGGTTTGGTATAAAGACACAGATAGTTACACCTCTTGTAAGTTGTTTGCCTGTTAAGGCAAAATCTAAAATATTTACCGTTCCTTTGTCCCACGGCATTCCAGGTGAGCACCCTAAATGTAAAAATATCATTTAAGAAACAGGGTTCATTAATGTTGACTTTAAGAAAAGGATCATTCTTCCATATTTCAAACATACATACAAATTTTCTACAAAAATATTTACCTTGTAATTGTTTGAAATCTCCCAATAATCACTGCACCTGGGACATCATTAAAATAAATATGGTGATTCTATCGTTGTATTTCTTCTAGATGTATTCAGTCAAATGTAAACCTCAACAAGCTGATAATGAGTTTTTCTTTTTAACTAAGACTTAAAACACAGTTCCTTTCATTGTGGTGTTCAGTGACTTACTTTGATGGTGTCCAACATAAGAAAGGTTCTAGTAACTGTCAAATAAAGTAAGATAGTGTGTATTTAGTAGATATTTATGATGTGTAATTAAATCACAATGGTTTGCACATACCAGTTTTTTTATGTTGTCAAGTTGAACAGTCTCACTAGTAATATTGATTCTTATGGCATAAAACTGACCTAAATAAATGAAAGATAGAAAGAAAAATATGATTAATTCTGATATATAGAACAATATGCATTCACACAACATCTGCACAGTCTCTCCTCCCTAGTTTTGCCTACTTGCAGGATCACAGGAAGCGGTGCAGTCACAGTGGCGAGGTGCAGGGCCTGATGAACAGAATAATGTGGTGACAAACATCAGAAGCATCAAAACGTAATTGTGTTAAGAGTAAAAGTGTATAGGGTGCATACGGGGGCAGATGTTTGTCCTCGGGTGTGGCACTGGCTCAGAGTTTGGATCAAACAGAGAGCTGAAAAATAAAGATGGATAAAATGAAGTGTAGAGCTGTAAACAGTGTAAAGAAAAAAACAAGAGGTGACGCTCACCACGCAAGCTCAAAGGTCCTGTTTGACTGACAGATATCATCCAAGGAATTTGTGGATGTGCACCTCACAAAGCTGCCTCTAGAGGGCGACACACCCTCACAGAGACTTGGACCTGACATGAACAAGACAATGAGTTGGGGAGGTTAAAAAAAAATAAAAAAAAGTTGCTGTTGTTGGGAAATAATTTTGCATTTCTTTCTATTTCAGTTCATTTTTATGTTTTTATTTATTTTATTTTTTTTTTTTATTAATCTACTTTTATGGTCACCACTTACATATGCTAATTTTGAGAAAAGTGTCAAAAAAAGAACAATACAAAAATAAATCACTTTTGACTTTTAAATAGCCATTTAAAAAGGATTTTTAAAGTTATTTTTAAGTTATAATTTACAAAAACAGAATGGGAGGCAGATCTTTCAGTTCTCAGGCTCCTCTCTTGTGGAACCAACTTCCAATCTCTGTC